GAGCAGATCCTGGGCTCCCTGCTGGGAGGTGGGCTCACAGCCTCCTGTGAATTCATTAATGCCATTTTGCCAGAAAAGTCCACAGCATTGTTTTCATCATGACCGGGTAGTGTTGGCCATGTCACTGTTCTGGAGTGCCCAGACAGCATTTCACAGAACCATGGAATGGTTTGGGTTGGAAGGACCTTAAAGCCCACCCAGTGGCACCCCTGCCATGGCAGGGACACCTCCTTCTGTCCCAGCTGCTCCAAACCCTGCCCAGCCTGGCCTTGGGCACTGCCAGGGATCCAGGGGCAGCCACAGCTGCTCTGGGAATTCTATTCCAGGCCTGCCCACCCTCCTAGGGCAGAACTTCTCAGTATCTAATTTGCTTTCATTGGTTCAAGTACAAGAACCAGGAATTCCTTTCATCCCCAGGTGTGACTGAGCAGCCCAGTGGGCTCTGGTGCCCAGCCCTGCCCCTCTCTCCTGTGTGTTGGTACTTCAGTGTCCTGCAACAGCAGCAGTGCCAAGCTCCTGTGTGTAAATATTTGAGACATATAAATGGTAGAATTCACTGTTTCCTTGAGTCAATACCGTTTACACTGAGTGGACCATATTTGCAAACTGTTAGCTTACACCAAGAAAGGGAGTGAACTGTGATTTCATTTGTATTTATTGCATCATAAGTTTAGTAGCATATTTAGTAGAGTTGATAGTGATCTAGAGCTGTGTTTCGGGGTGTGGATTATGTTCTTTGCAGTTTGTGTTTTTGCACAAGGTAGTAAATCCAGAAGTCATTTCTGCCTGGATATACACTACATTTTTTCAAAGCAGTCAGAGACTAAAACTGCCATCTAACCAACAGCAGGAAAGAGGAAGAATTCTGTTTTTCAAGTTCAGCACTTTATGTTTGCAACCCATTTCTCTTAAGTTATTTTAAAATGTTTTTTAAAGCAAAATTTAATATACCTGTCCCTATTTACTGTACATTAAAATAAATGGATTCTCTGCTGGAAATTTCATCTTTTCCTCTGGTACGCTCATAATTTGTACTTTTGGGGAGTGAAGCATTGTTTTCTTCTTCTGTGTAGTATCTTGTTTGTGGCCTCAGTGTTCTTGCTGTTCCTTTTTCTGTGTGGGTTGTGCTGTAGCAGTTCCTGTGTGACCTGTGTGCTCTGGGGCTGCTCCAGGTGATGCCCCTGGGTGCCCGTGGAGTCTCACCCTGTTCCTGCTGCCCGTGCTGAGCTGCTGCAGGGTGGGGCTTTGTGGCACCCTCTGTTCTCTTTCTGCAGCAATTCCAGGTGTGTCACAGCCTTCTCTATCCCCTTCCCTCTGAACTTCTCTCCTCCTCTGAGCTTCTCCTGTTCCTCTGTGCAAACCTTTGTGTAGCTCAGCTCGTGGGGCAGTGGAAACCCAACATTGTCTGTGTAGGGTCTGATGAGAGCTGGCTGGAGGGTGGTCAGGAGCATCCCTGCTGTCCCTGGGAGCATCCTGCTGTCCCTGGGAGCATCCTGCTGTCCCCTGGGAGCATCCTGCTGTCCCTGGGACCATCCTGCTGTCCCCTGGGAGCATCCTGCTGTCCCTGGGGGTGAGCACTGTGTGCTGGGGCTGCACCAGGGCTGTTCTCCTGTGCTCCCAGAGCTGTCCCAGCCCAGCCCGGGCCAGCCTCGGCCTCTGGGGCTGCCTGGGCAGCTGTGCTGGAGCTGAGCTGGGTCTGTCAGGGATTCCCAGGTCAGGGGGGTCCCTAAAGCTGCTCTGTGGGGTTTGTGTGGAGGAAGCTGAGCTCTGCTGCATCACCAGGCCCTGGTGTGTGCAAGCAGAGCTCTGCCCCAGGGATGTGAAGCCCTGCCTGGTGCAGCTCAGTGTCCCCAGCCCAGGGCCCATGTCAGCAGGATGGGCTCAGTATTTATTATTAGTTATTTCATAAGGGTTAAACTCTATGATTTGCATGAAATCCTGTGGTTCACAGCTTTGCCAATATGGTCCATTACTACTGCCTACGACAACTTGTGTACTTATATGCCTTTGAGAATATTTTTAATTGTTAAAATTGTCGAAAAAAATCAGTGTTAATTTTTAATGGGGAAATGGATTCTGGTGTCAAAATGGTATTTACTGTGTTGCTGATGTTTTGTACCTGTCATCCAGCTAAACAACCTGTAAATACCCTGAGTCAAGAGAAACATGAATGCCAATTATTTATTGTTCTGTGGAGTTACATGTCGCAGATGTGTAAGACCTTAAAAGGGAATGTTGTAAAACAAGGTGGAAAAAATAAATTTTATGCAACTTCTTTATTTCACCCCTGTATGATGCACCTGGTTAGTCCTGGCATGATCAGTCCCAGATATATGGGAATTGTCAGGATATAGGGGAGTTGTACCCTGGGCCTTTAACCTGTGTGTGGGAAATTCATCTCCAAGAAGTGATCAGAGCTGCTTGGTTAAATCCCTCCTAGGGCCAGCTTTGGATTTAACAGGGGTGGCCATTGCTGCTGGCAGCCAGAGCTGGGAATGAGGAGGGGATTTCCCTGGAACACAGATCTGTCCTGCCCTGGGAAGAGCAGTGGTGCAGCAGCATCAGGAACTATTTTGGGCATGTTCTCATCCCTGGATATTTGATTCAGTGAGTGGCTCAGCACAGGAGCAGTCCCAGGGTCAGGAGCAGGGGGAGAGGCAGGATTTAACACTGAATATTCTCCACAGGGGAAACATCACTAATGGTGAGTACAAACACAGTACAGCAATCTTCTACCAAAAATGTAATAGAGCAATAAACACTCTTAAAAAAAAAAAAAGAAAAAGAAAAAGAAAAAAAGGAAATTAAGAGTGCAATTGGATAAAGTAAATTTCTAACTTGGGAGGCTGTGTACTGAAAGCAGTGATAAACTATCCCTGGGATAACTGACTATGTATGGAAGTGTTCCCTTAGATTCTATAGGACACAGATGCCCTTTTTAATGACTAACTTTTTTTTGGTATAAAGTAGTTAATGCAAATATTAAATAAACCATTTTTGTGATGTTTGCACACATCAAATGAATGGTCTAGACTCCAGAAATCACAGGAACAGACTTTGCTCCCAAGTGTTACCAATTTCCCACTCTAAATAGGTTACATAAGGCCTGGATAGTGGTTCCTTTAATTTATGAACGGTTTCTTTTTAATGGTGAAATGTGTAATTTAAAAAGCTAGAAATAGTTTTTCTAAACTCACTCTGGAAGGGAAGGAGAATTTCAGCAATTTTTTTTTTTTCACCCAAGCATTGCATAATAGTAGAAATGTCAAAGATTTCCATGGGGTTTCATTCCATTCTTCATGTGGCTGTGGTCGTGCAAGAAGTTTGAACACTGCAGGGGCTGGCAGACTTTTGGGAGATCACACATCCTGGGGTAAGTTTTTACCAAAGAATGCCAGTGGCCTTGTTCTCCAAACTGGGCTTGTATTTGACACTGGTGTGGCTCTGGTTTTCCTTTCTTCTGAAGAGAAAGAAGAGGTGCTGGCTGGAATTGGGTGTCTGGCTCTGCCTCTGAGCCTGTGGAGCTGTGGAGGCTTCCCTGCACATGAAGCGTTTGGGGAGAGGAAAACCTCTTTGAGCTGCTCTGTCCTCACCTTCATCCCTGCCTCTTTGTCCCTGCATTGCTGTGGCATTAATTAATTGTCTTACACCTTCACTAGAGGGAGGGAGCAGCTCCTGTTGCCCTTTCCCAGGTGGGAGATGGGGCCAGAGAGAACCAGTGGTCTGGGCTGGCCCCACAGGCAGAGCACAGGAACTAAAAAAATTATTATTATTTTGGTGATAAGATTTTCTCAGCA